GCATCAACAAACGCCCCGGAAAAGCTTGTACGTGTGGTGTCTCATTCGCGCTCCAGATTGCGAACGAGTCTGGTGTCGTCGCTTGCAGCGCTTTGGGCGGCTAGGGGAAAGTTGGTGCTCTTGCTGGGGTCGGATTCGTCCCGGGGCGGTCTGATATGCCGGGGCAGGTCGGACTGGCTGTATAGAATCCTGCAGGGGAGCAGCGCAGAAATTGAGTACGATTTGAGTACATGGTTTTCAGGACGCAAGCACTCGCTACCAAGATCGGTGACCCTGTGATAAAACTGCCTAGGGAAGGTAGGTTTTGGCTGCTTCTTCCTATAGAAAAACACTGGGTTGTAGTTGGGATTCCTTAAAACATCCCTGTATAACGCAGATATAACGGTTGGTACTCCTTGTGTAACAACAATGAAAAGAGATAGATAGCACGGGAGAGGAAATAGCGCTCCCCTAGGCCTGCGTGTGCTAGGCCTGCCTCCTCACAATTCCTGCATCGAACCGGGAATCTGTTTCTTTGTTCAGTTTCACTAGCTCGCACCAACCCCTTGCGAGCTACAGTCATGCAAAGTGGAAACCCAACATGCTGCTTCCAGCCAACAAGGGTCTGACAAGGCACCCTGCTGCAATGTCATAATTGCTTGTTGATGATACTTGCTGCATTGTGCCGAAAGGAAAAATCAAGGCGCTCACAAAAATGACTGACCCATGGAATACTTTGGGTGCATTTTGCTTGGATGTTAGGACTTTAACTTTTTGCAAACTACTGGGTTTTATTCCATTAAGCAATGAATATGTGTCTCTCCCCTGCTATATCAACTTTTGCGCGCCGCTCGTGTGCATGGAAGCTGTCCTCCAAGAAAACTGGTCGCACCCAATGGGCTTGCAGTTGGCCCCTCACATGTCGTGATACATGTTGCACATATGAGGTACTAGCCTATGCTAGGTTCACTGTGTTGGCTGGTAGGGGAGGGGTAAGAGAATAACTCAGTCTAGGTGCACCCTCCATAGGTCACCAAGCAGTTTCTGACAAGCAGATCTCCCGAGAAAACCTCAACCCATCTTAGCCAGAAGCAATGGGACAAACCAGCGCTACATGGAAACATGTGTTTGATGAAAAACACAGATAACACAGATTTCATTGCATGTCTGGCGCGTGCTAAACTCTCCATGTTAACCAATACCAAGCTAGCATCCTGATGAATCTGTTGCATATGGGCCTAACCTGTGACAGATGTACTTGTATGTCTGCAAACACGTTGTATCCCGTGCTACCCTATTGAATTACCATAGGGATGCACAAGACAGGTCATGATAATACTGCACGCAAGTCGGCCCATAAGCAAAATGCATCGAATATGTTTTTCTGCAACGATAGCGCCAGTGCAACCAAGCCCATTGTTGCCACATGCGCTGGCTCATGAAAGGTGAAGGCAAAGCAACACTCAATGTGGGTGCTAGTTGCAGAGGAGCTTGAAGCTAACACTGCTTTTAGCAACCTCTTCCATTGTTTCATCACCGGTAGCACCAGAGTCTTGTCATTATGCGCTACTCATACAAACTCTCAAGAAGCAGGCGCCAACTAAGCGCACGAGCTGTTAAGAAGCACATCTCAGTGAAGTTTATAAATAGAGTAACCGATTATAGAAGTTCATGTCTAAGCAACTGCATCAATCAGATGAATCTTCAAAGAAGTTATGTAAGCAACAGGACATCCTAGAACTTTGCAAATAGGGGCCACGACCTAGCTAAAGGCGACAATTCTGACTTCTTTTCATGTTTGTCCGCCCCTTCCCCCCCCCCCCCCGCAGCTCTTCTTCTACATGCCGACTCTAGAGAATGTAATACATAATGTACTTTTCTTCCTGGAATCCACAATGCCCAGCCGTTTTGTACTGAATTTTTGGAGAAGCATTGTGGAGGCCATGGATGCTTGCTTTTGAATCTAGATGTCTGATAAACACAAATGATTATAAATTATGATAAACAAAAGAAGACAAAACAACGCAGGCCTCCACGCCGTCCCCTTCTGCCCATTTTGAGCCACCCCCTTTGCTTTCTGCCAAGCTTGGGCACCATTTTAATAGGTGTGTAAAAGGGATCCGGGTTCTGTCGAACGGGTGTCGATCGCTTGTACCAACGGACCATCGTAGCATCCCATTTCCGAACCCGTTTGTTAGATATAGAAAAGGCCAGAACGGGTCGCTCGAGTCTGATTCAATGCTCTGCATCTTGCGCGAGAAGTTGGACGTCGACCCAAGATCTCCCTGCCATCCGGGTTTTTGAATTCAAGCGGCAAGCGACGCATACACCGCCAGGGACCGAAGACAGAAGACGGAGATCAAGCCATTGAAGAGGACCCTGAACCTTCAGGCGGGCTGGATGTAGCCCGAACCAAGCTGCCCTGAAAAGCGCCAGCCTCTGTTTTTCAGCTTCTGTTGCATATTTACCCTCGAATAGCAGATAGTTTAGGAGGAGACCCTAGGTGTAGCAGGCAATCGACAGAACCATCCTTTAAATGCCAAGAGGAACAGGGCGAAGGGTTACCCGCTGTAACAACTTCTCTGGGATCCACTGGGGAAGGATCTTCAGGCGTCAGATGTCTCCGGTCCGTACCGAATCAGCATGGTTCCCCTTTTAATGCGGAGATGATCACCTTTCCAGCATTTTGTTTTTTTTGTGGGGGTTCCTGCACCTGCGTGTCAGGACGATCGTTTTGTTTTCGTTTTTTTTCTTTTTCCCCGTTGCAACCACAAAAGTTGGAACTTTGCTTGGCCCATCCACTCGCTGTCAGCTGGCTAGCCCGTGTAAGTCCCGATCTCCAGTTTGTGGATCAGGCGCCCACGGCCCGATGGCACCCCAGCTACAGGTACATGACACCAAGCCCAAAGCATCAAAGGCCATAGGTGTGCTTTTTGGTGGTTTTGGTTGAAAAATCGAGGGCGATTCCTGGTTTACCTGGTTTCAATCAACTACCAAAGCCATCTATTTTCCCAAAAAGGACACCTATGTCAAAGGCACGCCAAAGCCACACCAGTCTGGGTTGATGCAGATTTGCCGACTTGTTGCAGAGGAACTCGTTGCAGGGTTCAGCCAGTCTGACTGTTTGATGGGGCATCAAGGATTCTTGTATTTCCAGTGAAACTTCAAGTCGAACAAGATGTTCCCCAAAGGTGCGTATGGGGTCCCGTAGGGCCGTGAAATCGCTGCGGCAGGTTCGCCGCTTTCAGTGGGAAGGTAAACCCCAATGAACCCGGTGACTGTAATCAGGTTCCATGCACGACGGATCTCGGATTTCATGCATTCCCCCATCCGGGTTTAGTCATCGAGTCATACCCTGCACAGTGAAATGTGCCATCTACTTTCACCATTTTTTACCGTACTTTGGCGTTTTCACTAATCATCTATTTGAACCTGCATTGGAGGGGTCTGGATCCCCTGAGGTTTCAAGATTCTTAGGCGTGGGTCGTGTTCTTGATGGTTCTCAGCAAAAAAGGAGGGCATGCCATAAATCATCCCTTTTGGTTTCCCTTAAGGGAATCCTTCCGGTTCATTCACAAACCCTGGGTCATTCTCGACTGAGCACCAGCAAATTTTGGGGTCGCCGAGCATTCAGGCGGCCGCCCAAGGGCAGGTGTCGGCACGAGGCCGATAGGGAGCTGAGCGTTGCCTCTCAGTTCAGAACCGACCTTTTGGCCTTGATGCGGTGTGTGTTTTGCCACTTTTCGAGGCCTCAAAAGGTTTACCTTTCAGTCTACGTCTTTTGGGAGGCTCAGACATTCCTATGGATGGATTGCTTTCGGGGATGCTGCGGTGCGGGAGCGTACATGAATCCAAGTTCTGGGTAAACGAGCCATTTGCCTGGATGTAGAGTGATTGCCTTGGTTACTACTGGGGGAAATTAATGTCTTGGTGCCCCCCTGTATATTTGGGGTCCTGTTCAGCCCAGACGCTCCGGGGGCCGGAAAACGCCCGTGGGAACCAGAGAGTCGTTTCTTCTAGAGGTGTTCTTTTTGCAGAGCCCTGTGGCGTTTGATAGGAAAAACACATGTGCGACGACACGCAACTGGCTTGGGTGAGTTTCACTTGTGAGGGATTGACTTGGGGATCCCGACAACATGTCCAAAGAACGAAGAGGGATTGGTTTGGATGCAAGTGGTTGGAGGTGTCCCAACCTTTGTATCTCTAAGGAGGTACCAACCTGTCTGCAAGGGCGTCCCGGGCTTGTGGGCAGGCTCGCGCCTTTGTTTCCTGCGAGTTTCAGGAATCCTGAAGCCTCTCTTGCCCGATCTGCCTGAAGTGATCCTTTGAATCCTAGGTCTCAGGGTCAACGATTGAGGCAATGGCTGACAAATTGAGACTGATACAGGAGGACCTTTAACGAGATTCTTCGTGGTGACTTGTTTATTTTATTTTATGTTTTTTTTTCGGGAAGAGTCTTTCCATCCTTTGTCCGCGCCTCGCAAAAAAAACCGACCAACCTTTCCCAGCCAAGGATCGTTTTTGGTTGGATGGGGTCATTCCCTTCGTTTCAACTACAAGGAGCATAGCTATAGAAGGAACCTGACCAACCGCCACCGCCGCAGGTTTCCCACTAGTCATGGCAGGTCAAGCAGGAATAACCTGTTTCCATTCCCACAGACCCCCAGGCTCCCTGACTGGTGAATCCGGGGTTTGTTTGACTCGACCGGGGCATATGTCTTTCTCCTTAGGACAAGCCTCAAGGGAGAACAGTTGGCGAACGTTTTCGGTTGGTTTCCCTTCATAGAAACCGACTTTCTTTTTTGGATTTCGCGTAGCGAATCGATAGGCTCCGATGCCACGGAACCAACGAAAGGAAGCCAGTTCCACACATTCCTGTGTTTTGTTGATGTCATCTTCCGAAATGAATTTCGGGGGGGGGGGTGACTCTTTTGGCTGGCTTCCCGTTTACAGGCGTCGCTTTCCATCGGGATGTTGGAGCGCCTGAAAATGTGAGATGTTCAGGTGACGGCGCCTTGTGGATGCTGCGGCCCGGGGCCTGGAACGGGTCACCCTCCAGCTTTTTTTCCCAAAGCAAGGGGAGTGGTAATGGGGTCTGGGTCAGACCAAGAGGGGCAATCATATTTTCTTCTTCCGGGCTCCAAGAGAAACTAGTCTTGTCCCTACGGCAATTTCCAGGGCCTCGGCAACCAAGACACAAACAAAAGACAAATATATAAAGCCACCCAGCGCGGGGTTTGGGGTTCCCAATAGTTGTACTGCACGGCCTCAGAATACTTGGAATGGCGGTTGTTGGGGTGTGTGGACACCAACTTACCTGTTGATCGGAAGGCAACAATGCTTATTTATTTTGCCCCTCACCTTAGTTCCTGGGCAGGACATGTCTGGAAAACGGAAAACGGTCAATGCATGCGCAATTACTGTGTGGCATCCTTGTAATAGATCATGGATTCCAGCCTTTGTCACTTTTTCACTTCATGTTTGGTGGCTTTCCCCACTTTAAAGGTGGTCAACACCACGAAAGGGTCCGTTTTACGGGTGGGATGCCCTGTACTTCTTGTGTACCCTTCTTGGTTGGTTGGACCGCAACACATCCGCTGTTCAATCTTTATTTGGCACCGTCTACGACGAGGTCGCGCAGCTCCACGACAGCGTCTGGGAGCAAGTAAAGACGGCTCCTTTGGGCTGAACCCGCGGCCTTTTGTGAGCTTCGTCGACTTCCAGCATCTGCAACCCCGTGCAGGGCAAGGCGGCCATGAGCCAGTCCCTGCGTCGTGGACAAGGAACAAACATGGTGAGCCCTCAAAAACGGTGGCACCCCTTCATGACGCCCATGTCTTACCAGACCTGTCTGGTGTCAAGCTTTGCCCCCCCCAGAAGTGGGATCACCCAATCTTTTGTGAAGTTCGTAGAATGTTTGGAGCCCTCCAAACTGGCGAGCACCTCTGTGGCTTCCCAAACACCATGCTCGAAAGGTAGCCTCACTTCCGGAGTTGGTGGACTTTAAACTTTTTGGAAAGACCATTTTAGTGGTAAATAAAAGTTCAAACTTTTTTTGGCCAGTCAACTTGGGAAGTGAGTACCATTCCGAATCTTGGTACCTGAAATGGGGCCTTCTTGACGGGCCGCTTGAGGGCCAACACCTTCCGAGAAAAAGTATCCTGACTACTTTAAGAGAGGGTCCAACAATACTCATACTGATTGTTAGAAGAACCAACGCTCATGGCCAGTGACCACATTTTAGCAAGCCAGACATCGAGGCGCTTGGATTCTCTGGCTTTCGATGTCTTGAGTCGAGGCAACTTCGGCCGGTGTCCTACAACTTCAAGCAAGGCTCCGAGTCCAAGTACATGCGCTTCGGCTTCATAGGCCGGCCTCCGGCCTCCATCCGTTTCGTTTCGCTGGTGCCGATTTTTGGGTTTTGAGTTGCGAAGAGCTCCCTTTGCTAGACACTGACACTGTGTCTCGAGCAAAAAACACTCGGAGTTGAAGGTTTGGGAGGTTGTTCAAGATGGGATCGGCAATAGGAGCAAAGGCGTATAAAGGCCGTATAAGCCCAACCAAGCAGCAACAAATTGAGGATCTTGGTGGGGCTGGTTCATAGAAACGCGGAAGCACCTCTGAAAAGGTTTTTGCGTGAGGGGGAATCAACCCTGATTGGTATCTGGAATACTCCAAAGTTAGCATGAATTGGAAGCAGATGGAGTGGACATCACCGTTTAAAAGTAGGATCACCCCTGACTTTTGGGTGCATGACTCCATGTGCTAACAATCAGGAGATAGGCGCATGGTTCGACTCTCCAAATGCCCGACATTTCGCACAGGCTCAGGAAAAGGACCCTTTTCCCCCCACTGGCAACAAGTGAAAGTTGTTGTTTTGTTCGGGACAAAAGTGCGTGAGAACCCGTCAAGTTCTCAGAGCCTCAGTTCGCGATTGAAAGAACGAGGTGTGCTTGTAGGTGTCCCTAAACAATGTTGAAACAGCAGAGGCTAACGCAAGAATTCAACATGGGGCCCACCTTAGGTGGTCACGTTGAATTTGTTTATCGCCATGCGGATTATGTGCTTTCCTCACCATGTTCGACTCCTCGGCCCTTCAATGACAAGCCTACCACATCGCAGGAAACGGCCCACGAGGCAGCGTATGCGAGCTCATGAGCCATTGTTTGAAGGTGATGAGGCCATGGGCCAAAATCCCTTACCCCCAGTGAACATCCCAATCCCCACCAACATAGACTAAAATGGGTGGTGCACCTACCCCAAAATGGTACCATGGGTTTTGACCCACAGCCATGTGACCTTGAGCATTCCTTGTTTTACGGTTGTTCAGAGGACAAGCCAAAGGACAACCAGCTTGTCGAGGGTTCCATGCTTCCAATGGGATTCCGGAATCAGTTTTGGGGAGCGATTTGTGCATGTCTTTTTCCCAGGGTTCCTTTTGGAAACTGTTCGAACGGGAAGCGCAATGGAAACCAACCGTTTTGAAGCCGTTTGACACAGACCCATTTATGATCTGCAAGGATCCGACAAAGCCCCCAATTGGTAGATTCAGGAAGATGACCAATTCCAGTTACTCCGACTTTGACCCGTAGACACTGCCAAAATGAAATGCCCAGTCAAAATTGGGAAGCCTGTCCTGGTTTTGGGTACTCCACATATACAATAACGGTTTTTGGGGGTGGGGCTTCAAGTCTTACCACGCGATTGGTTTCTACATTTGATATCGATCTGGGACCCATTTGAAAAAACTGGCCCACGCCTTTGGGACTACCCTCGTGACCAGGCACCGTACATCAACTGTTTGTTTCCTCAGTTGGCGCGTGACTGTGTCTTTCGCTTTCAGTAACCTTCGGATCACTCCTGGCCTTGAGACATTTTGAGACCAACTTGGAATCCCTAGGGTCCCAAGACCTTACATATGAGGGCCTTGAACCCCAAAAGTCCGCCAATAGGGTCTTGAGACCAACTTGGAATGCTCCCCACAACTCACGGCTCTTCGCGAGCAACCGATGCCCCGTGCCAGCCGATGAGCTGGAGTCCGTGGTGCCCCAGTTGATCCGCACCAACCCCTTGAAGCAAGGCACGGACTCGAACGGAACCGAAGGATCAATCCTGGACCCCGAGCCAAAGTAAGCTGAGCATAGGTGGCCTTCTTAGGTTAGTTTGGATAGAAACAGATGGCACCGGTTTAGATTGGTTTGATTCCATTTACCAGGGCCATCTATGTCACCAAAAAACCACCAGTCCTACCAACCGATTGCAATGTGTGAGCACCGGGCCGGATTCTCTTTTGAAGTTACTTGTCATTTCAAGGTTCACGAAATATGTGGACCGGAATGAAGCACGTTATGTTTGGGTGGGCTGAGGTAGGTTTTTGCCGTACACTGTTTATGAGGACCATTCCATCCAAGTCTTCCCGCTGCGTCTGGAGGGGGGGGGGGCGGGCGGGGTTTTCCTGGGAGCATGGGTGAGGAATTGGCCTGGACTCGGGCCTGAAACAATTGCCCCAACTTGGAGCTTGCAACTTGCAACGATTCAGGGGGTCGTTTGGTAGGAAAAGGGAATGGGCAACCATTCTAGCATTTGATTCCCCATTCTGGGTTTCCTACAGCCAATACTTTCAGCAGCATGAAGGGCGTCCTAAGTTTTTTTGTTTTGTTCTGTGATTCCTGCCTGCTGGTTTCTTTTTCTTGGATTTCCCTTCAGGGAAAAGACCCATATTTCCCCTTGAGACCATTTCAAGATTGGTTGGCAATTGCTGAGTGATCCCGCTTTCCCCTCCTGCATTCTGGGGACGAGCGTGCTGTTCGATTTTGTCCCACCCTAAGGCCGCACAAGGGCCCAACTCTGTTTGACCCGAGCTGTTCGAACAATGACGACCCTTCGCGTGACACACCCTTTGGGCCAATGAAAAGCGCCAGGGAACTGGTGTGTTGTTCAAAATGGCACGCTTTGCTCAAGCTTCAGCCAACCAAATCGAACAGTTGGGAGAAAAGGGCATCTTTCACAGGCCTCACGGACGTGAAGCACGTGTCCATGATTGCACGGCGCTCAGATGCGGGATTTCATTCCAGATGCACAGAAAGGTCCATTTAAATAGCAAACCTTCAAGGATTATGTTTTGGGGGGTGTACATCGGGTTTCTCAACGGGCTTTCCCTTTCAGTCACCATTTGGATGGCCGGTTTGATGATGTCACTGTACGCAATTGATGGGTTCTAGCGCTGATTCAACGTCCCCTGGTCGAAACAGTCGGCTTTCAGGGCCCTGGGTCAGGGATCTCCATCTGGCTTTTGGGGGAGGACGACACGCGCGGTCAAGTTTTCCATCAGAACCAGGGATTAAGACCCAAGTTGTGCATTTCCCTCTATTCAAAGGCCTTTTCGACAAACCTTCCCTGCTTTTATTTCCCTGGCCACCAACAGGTTCCCACCCAGCAACCCAGAGTCGGATGGTTGGTTTCCTTCGAACTAATGCTGACCCCCCAGTTGCTCGGGGGAGTCCCCTCAGTTTTCGGCAGCAATTCCAAAATCCCGAACCCCGCTGATTACTAGCTGGTGGGTGTACTCAGGGGTCAACATTATATCTGGGATTGACTGGGTACAAAGTCATGTGGGTGTGGCTCCATGTTCAAGACCTGGAGCTAACGTTGCGCACATAGGTGTCCTTTTTGGTTGTTTTGCTGAGTTTTGCTGGAAAAATAGATGGCACTGGTTTACCTGGTGGTTTAATCTACCAGGACCATCTATTTCCCCTAAAAGGACACCTATGGTTGCGCAGGTTTTGGTCGTTTCCATTCACCAGGGTGCCATTTTGGGGCAGTCTCCCGCCAACTAGCATGGGACCGTTCGACTTTCGGGGGATCGGTCCTGGTGGAAGACCATTTTCCTTTTTAAGGAACCCCTGTCCCGAACATCAGGTCAGGTTCCATGTGAAAAAGGTGAAGTCAGTAGGGGCTGCAGAATACCACACCGGAACACTCCTACATGTGTGCCAAAATTTAGTATTCTGGTACTCCAACCCCCATTTCAGTGTTGTTGGGAAACATTTTACATGTTTGCTTATTCTGGTTTAGTGGTTGAAATCCCCTTCCAATCCCCTTCTTGTGGTTTAGTGGCTTAACACAGGTTCCTTTTTTTTGCTAAGGTTTAAACATGTTTGCTCCCCTTCCAACATCAACCAAGATTTCGGGTCTCATTTTTCGAGGGCGTTGCCATGTCTTTCTCACACGAAAGCCGAGGACCTGGTGGCACTACTCACCGCCGCAGGCCAGAGCCAGCAGCAGGTCATCGAGACTCAGGCCATGGATGCGGTGAACGCTTGGTCTCCGGTGAGCGGAATCCATTTGCATCACAGAATGAAACCATGGTTGACACCATACGGTTTGTTGCGAGTTTGGCATTGGGGAATCTTTCTTCAGAAACCAGGGTTTCTGAACGGTGCGAAATGGATTTCGTCCACAGGATGGGTCCTTGACTTAGAGGGATCTAACATTGATTCCAGGTTTTGGGGGGAACTCATATTTCATGGGTCCATTACTTGGGATCCATGTTTTGTTCTATTCCACTTGGCTCTGAAGGATTTTCGCGAAAGATCCGCGAAAGATCCGCGAAAGCCCGGGCGAAAGCGCAGGGTTCGAGTGCATTTGGAGGTCCAATCTGAGCGCCGCACTAGTCAGTCAGTGTACTAAATTGGCACCAAACAGTTGTGACTTGCCAGCTGGAGCTGCAGAAGTGCATTTCGTGTACTAGCCCGGTAGTTGTGGTACTGCACTTGTACTTCAAAATTGTGACTTTCTGACTTTAGCAGTTAAAAGTGCACTGCGATGAATCCGCGGAAGACTCGCGAATGTGTTGTTTCTTCTTATTCTTTTTGTTTTGCGAAGACTGGCCGTTTCGAGACAAATGAATGTAGAGCACCCACCATATAGATCGATGTTTCCCCGAAAGGACGCCGGGGAAAGCCGGGCAAGCCAGGCTTTTGTTGTGCTTTGGATTCGGCTCACAAGGCCAAAACCTGGAGAGATTCTTGAGGCTTTAAGGTCCGAACCGGACAGGTGGACGGAAGGAACAAGAAGGAAAAGCTATTTGGAGCTGTCCAGGTATTCAGCTCCTTGAAGCCCTGAGCGAAACCACAAACCTATTCCCTGACGTTTTGCGTTTTTATCGCGGGGATTCTTGGTGTTTACTCCACTCGGCCCCTGCCGTGTTTTCCTTTTTCGGAACGGGGTCTGCGTTTGAAAGCAAGGAATTACCAAAGAAAAGGGAGCCTTTTTGCCATTTAAGGAGCTTTTTTTCTGGAAATCCACTGGAATTTTGGGCCAAGAACCCTTAAAGCAGACATGGGCTTTTGCTCCAAACTCACACCCTGAAATGAGTCGCTTTTTTGGTTGAGTTTTCCCTTGGGTGTTTTTTTGGGTGCTCTGTTGGGTTTTCCGTCGAGTTGTTTCCTGGTTTTCTCGGTGGCTCCCAGCCATCCCCCTAGCTTTTTAGCCTTTTAGCGTTTAGTGGGTGTTTCCATTTGACCCACTAAAAGTTGAGCTTTTAGCAGGGGATCTCAGGGCAGCCCAGTTTTCCCCGGACTTTTCCCTGTGGAAACGAATTGCTACCCGCACGCAAAAGACAAACGCGATTTCCCGAGACCCCAACCGCCCGGAAAGCCAGGAGCGGCTCATGGCGGCGAGCTCAGCTCGTTGGTCTTTGTTATAGGAATCTGCGTCCCTTATTTTGGGGTGCACGAAAACATGTTACCCAAATGAGTTGGAATCACCCCCTATGTTGAATGTAAGGGAACCCCCTAAAGCCTTTAGAACTTTAGAGCCTATCATCCGAATCAGCAAACTGACGCCTTGCTGTGGGTCTCTCTTGCGGACCGTCGCCGTTTTGCAGAGGGAACCTGCAAGTACCAAGTATAACGAGCTCACCAAGGGGTGAAACCAGCGATTTAAACTGTGATGAAGGTCCTTTTTTTGGCAGACCGGCAGTCTGCAGTTCACTGTAAAGTTCAGTAAAGTCTGTGGAACAAATGACACGGACACAGCTATATACCCGGAAGGAAGGAAGGACGGAAGAAAGGAATGAGGGAAGGGAAGGGAGGCGAGGAAAGGCAAGGAAAGGAGCGGAAAGGCAAAGAGAGGGAAGGGAAGGACGGAAGGAAGGAAGGGCTCCCGTTTTTCCAGTTGGTGAATCATATGAATTTGCCCAGTGGCCTTTGAAGTTGGCCATGCCTGACGGACATCAAATACATGGCCCTTACTTCAAATGCCTCACCGAGATGAGGGTATTCTGGGGGGCCCCGGGAGTTGATGATCGGTTTGGAGGGTCAAACTGAAGCAAGACTCGAGCCCGGAGGTCACAAGGCTTGCGAGGGTCTTTTCATGGTTGTTGGGACACATTTTTACATGTTTGCTTATTGTGGTTTAGTGGGAAACCCCTACTTAACTTCTAATATTTATGTTTTTTGCTCCCCTTCCAGCGTCAACCAAGTTTTGGTATCCTTTCAGGATTTGAAGGAAAAGGGGTCAAAGTAGTTCCTTCAAAAGTCCCAGAAAACCGTAGGGTTGTTGGCAGTCACCGAACATTGTGTTGGTAGAACTCTACGACTGCTTTTGGACATTAAGGATACAAGTTATCGGGATGCTTGTGCATTCCTTTTCAAGCTTTCCGGCGCGTCATCTCTTCGAACGAAACTTTCAGCTTCTCCGAGGACCAGGTGGAGGCCGAATTCGAAGCCTTCAAGTCGGAGCTCAAGATCCTGCATCAGCTCAAGGCGCCTTGAGAGCGCGAGACTGGGCGGGTCCCGGGTGGGGGACCCTCCGCGGTGAGCGCTTTTTTCAGGGATCCTTCTCAGCAAATGGGGCAACCCTCGGCGACCCTCGGACAAGGCTTGCTTTCCAAGAAACCGGCTTTTCAGCGGTCTTTCGTGTGGATTTGCCCCGAAAAGAAGGGTTGAACATTGTCGCCCAAATTGCAAGTGTCCAACCAATTCTTGGAATACGAAGCTAGAGGCTCGGGAACATGTCATGATTTTGGCTGAGTCACTCCCAGTGGGATCCATCGGCTTTTCTCTCCTGGCAACCCAAAAAAAAGGAAACGCCTCCATGGCCCTGATCTGTATGCCGAATCTATGGGTGGTGCAGTGGTTGTGTGATTGTTTGCCGAAGTTTTGCTAGTGAGATGTGGTTGGTTCACTTGCAATATGTCACAGTCCACTGTGGATTTCACCTTTTCCAATCCCTTCATGTTTGGTGGGTGCTCGCTAAACGTGGAATCACACCCCAAACGTGGTGCCAAGTAGTTTCTGTACCAGTCCCTCAGCAACTCGGTGGTCGGTGGTAAATGGTTCATAATTGGTAGCTGGTGATTGGTTGTTGGTACTTTTTGCAATTGGTGATGAGTAGAAGGTTTTGGGTGGGTCGTGGGTCGGCTTTGGGTGCGGTTGGGGTTGCTCAGTCTACTGCTTCAGCTTACGCTACCCCTCCAATGACACTGGGCGCCTCGTGTGGGCATTGGGACGTGCTCGAAGAAGACGAAGCAGAAAGCATCGGCAGCCGAGTTCCCCCCTAAGAATCCTCCAGCCAAGCAAAAGGTTCCCCTAGTTGTTCGACAAGAAAATCCACCGGAGGTGGGTGTTTCTTGTTGTGAGGACACTTTTTGTGGGTTCGTTTTTACAGCAAACCAAGAGAAGGGCGGGTTATGTCTGATGCCAGGAGAAGAAGCGACAGGCGAACCGCGCCCTGGCTTGCGGCGCAAGTCGCAAGAAGCGACGCCGCCTTTGGTGGCGCTGAGTCGCTCGCGACTTCTCTCCGAGCGGTGCCCGAAGTGTGCCATGGTCAAACGACCTTTGTCCAAAGGGATTTCCATGGGCAGAAAAACCATGCTTCAACTACGAGCAAAAGGCAGTCCAGCCAACTCAGCTCTTTTGAAAGGACACCTGAGAAGACCAAGCGTGACAGATGCGCTACGTTAAAACAAAAAGGAGAGAGACACGTATCTTTGTTTGGTTTGGCCATGGCAGACCCGGGCGACGAATTCAGTATCATTCGCGCACAAAAAAGGATGGACCTACTTTGCGATCCGATGGCTTTCATACTCCAGGCTGAGTGTAGGCTTGTTTTCTTGAGGGTGGCCTTTTTTGCGGACCCAAAGGCACAAACCTACATGGACATGGACAGAGCAATATCTCAGAGTTGGCAGTGTAGGAATTCTGGGAAGGCACTGAGAGCAGGCCAATACTTGAGACCATACTGTGAAGACACGCACACAACACTTGTGTGGTGTATCCAGGATCCCCTCCTTTTCGAAGCACTTCAGGGCAAGCTTGGTTCAACACGCTGGACCTTTGGACCTTTCAAGGCAAACCCTACAGAAGGTGGTTTCAACTGCAGTTCCAATATGCTTCAGCAGGTCGGGTTCGAGCTGATTTGGACTTCGCTCGGGCATAGCCATTACCGGGGTCTCCTCCAACAGAAGCTCATTTTTGAAGGTTACACCAAGTATGGAACAGAATCTGTGCTGTATATTTTTGGAGTCCCCCAAATGTGGAGCAGTGTTGGCTTGATTCCGCACAATGTATGGTTGGTCAGGGGATCCTTAAGCGGTTTCGACATGGGCTCCAGCCATGAAATGAAGCCCGCACACCTTCGCTATCTTGCATTTGACCGCTTTGAGCACACCTCACAAGTGGTTTGTGCATCGCCAGCAGTGGTCGGATTTTTCGCGCGAAATGGGAAGCCATGGCTTGAGGCATGTAGGTCCAACAGGTGCTTTCTGTTCCTTGCAGACCCGTTGGTTTCGCTTGGGATGCATGTTCGCTTCGCGATGCTTTTTGGCTCGATCCGGGGCTGCGAAGGTGGGATGAAGTCAAGTCACAAGTCGCAAGTCGCAGCAGCTGAAGAAATCAGGCCGCGCTTCAACTTTTTTGTTGTGTATGGCTAGCTTCCATGAGCTATTAGATGGAATTCACATGAATCGGGCACCTGACATTTAGAAACCAGGAGAACCCAGTATTATTTATAGCCCAAAAAGTTGTCTGGCTCTTTCAATCCTCAATGGAGCTTCAAGCCGGGAACTTTTCGCTTTTCTAAAGGCGGACTCGGTTACTGACAGTGCAGCCATTTGACAGGCCAGACCTGGCTTGTGAGCGAAGAGTCCCTTTCCATTGAGCCGGAGGGTGGTTGGTACGGAGGAACAAGACTCATCAGGTTTAACTTTGAATCCGCAACTTTCATTTGCTTGAGAATATATGTTAGTTTCTCTTGTTGGCGTTAAAAGGAATTTATCACTGGACATATGTATATTTTGTCCAGGGGTCCTAACCAAATGGAAGACACAGGGTACTTGAGCCTTTGGAAAGAAAGTTGCCAAGTTGGGATGTGCGACGCCGACTGACGGGTCTGTCTTTCGGTCGACTCTTCTTGGCTGGTTTCAAAGGAAGCCAAAAGGAAGTGCCACCCATGTTTAAAGGTCCCCAAAAAAAAGACACACCCCTTTGTATTTTGGGGAGTCTACTAGAGCAAACGGCTTGGGAATGTATTTTGCTCTGCCAAACGGCCGTGGCCTTTTCCGCTTGCATCATGATTCGAAGACGGGGGCTCATCAAGCTGCTATGCAAGGGGACACACTGAAGATTGATGGCACAAGCTCGCATTGGTGTTTTATTTAAAAATAATAGTGCGTTATACAATCTCAACGTTCCGCAACCCGTCAGACAACTTGATTCAGGGCTGGCAGGTGTTGCATTTTGCTTGCGAGCTGTGAAGGGCCGCTTAAAGTATCTGCTGCGATGGTAATTTTGAGGAAGCAGGCTGTGCTTAGAAGAAACAAAGCGACAGTTCTGGTCAGCGGTGAAGGAATGGCAGGTCAGATGGGTTCCTCACCCGACACCTCGAGCTGTCAACGCCAAATTGAGTTGTTTCTACTTAGTATGTAGGCCCACCTTCGGAATATCACGAATACCATGCACATGTTCCAGTATGTCCCTTGGTAAGCATCCTAAACCCTAAACCCTAAACCCTAAACCCATTCTTTGGCCCCTTTTTGGTGGGTGACGTCTATCTCTCGCAGGCAATGGACGACTGGATCCAAATGGCAAGGGCCCCGGGCGCCAGATTCGACCCACCGTGCCCAGGGCACCACGTGAACCCCTGACCGAAAAAAGGAGGTACTCGCCATGGAAAACAAGGTTTTCAATCAATCGACCCTAAAAAAAAAGAAGTGGGAGTTTGGAGCAGAGGCAAAGTCTGCTCTCTTAAACAAAATGAAAAAATGTTTTTTTGCTCGCGCTCCACCGATGCGGGGGCAAAAAACAGTTTGGTGGGAATCCCGTATTTATTGAGTTATTTTCAAGATCGCGGATGCGGCGGTTACTTACTGGCTGGAATTGCACCTCGCGCTCGCGGGGAGTGGAACCAACCTCCCCTTATCCATGGTGAGCGGCCCTTATCTGGAGTCTCCATGACCCTTTAAAAATGGGGTAATTGCCCAAAATCAAGGGGTTATGGCCCCTTTTTCCAGGGTCATGGAGACTCCAACTAGATACTTAGGGATTCTTTTGTTTGTTTCAAGATGACCGCGGTGTCCCGTTGTGCAAGACTATCGGTTTACACGTTTGAACCGGGGGTCCCACCCAACCCTGGTGTGGGGGTTTCACCAGGTGGCACGTCGCTTTGGAACCATAGAGGGGGCAATCACTCTTGGTTGCTATGTATCTGAAACCCTTTGTGAGGCGGTGACTCCATTCGCTCGGCCGAATTATTTGATGCCTTCAGAGGGTCCTGACTGTTTTGGGGGGGCCACAAGCCTACAACAAGGGTGTTTGTAACTCAACTACCTTTTAGAGTGCTCAAACTGATTCTTTCATGGCAGCATTTCAATCAAATTCCCAACAAGTTTGATTCAGCATGGTGTGTATCATGTTTGGCTTCAAAGGGGCCATTTCCCTGGTGGCTGGTATTTGCTTTTGTTGTTGTTCCCCATGTTCGTGTGTTTCCTTTAAGCGTTTGGGTGGGTGTGGTTGCGGCTTCGCTTCGGGCCCTTCCGCTGGCACGGCCGTTTTCGCGCCGTTTCTTCCCGAGGTGCTGCCATGGTGGGCGCTCGGGAACTTCGGGAAGGCATCGATGGCCGTTAGCCCTTCGTCGCCCCGCTGAGAGCCACTCTCAAGTAGGGTGCCTTTTTTTTGTGCGGTAGGGTGCCCTTTTTGTTGGTTCGGTAGGGTACCGAAATTTTTTATGGTTCGTTTTGAGGGAACCAAATATTTTGCTTTGCTCTCTTTTTTGAGAGTGCCCTTTCTGGTTCGTTTTAAGCGAACCACATATTTTGTTTTCTTGTCTTTTTTCTTTTGAGGGTGCCCTTTTTGGTTCGTTTTCAAGGGAGCCAACAGGAAACCAACCATTTGTGGGAAGCCAGTAAAAGAAATGGCACACAACCTTTGGAAACCCCTGCGTTTTTGGGACTGGGGATTGGTTGACTAGGGGCCTTGTTTTGTGGGTTGTTTACCCTAAACTTACTTGCCTGCTCCCTAGCTTCTTGGCGTTGCAGACAATCAGTGGGGCATGTCCGCTTTCCTTTCTTTTAAGACGTTTCCCTTTTCCGCCCATGGCCACCGAACATATGGGGTTTGCTTTGGGTTGCTCTTTAACCACTGAAGGAACCCACCATTTTGAAAAACTCCCATTTGAGTGGCGCTCCATACCCTTATTCGCCATACGTGGCTCTACTGCCTGGTTGAATTGGAATTTTAGTAAGGCCAATGTAAACCGTTGTAACCACGCTAGTAGAACCAAAGTCAATGGTTGTTGGGCGCTCTTTTAGCATAGTCCCAAAACACTGAGGGAACAGAGGCATACACTCAAGTAGCTCCCCGCAGACGAACGGGGCCATGTTCGTTGTTCCAAGACCACGCTCTTTTTGTTAATCCATTCTACCTTTTAGCTTATGGGCCAAGACAAAGAGGACAAACTGCCCCACTGTGGTGGCAACTGGGAGGGATCTATTTTTGAGGTATGTGGCATTGTCAGGTTCACTCAACATGCACCATACGCACAAGTTGTATCTTTGCTGCCTTTGCTTGGAGACAAACGCTGGGGCATGGCTGATCCTTCAAAAGAGTGCTTAGACAAACATGGTTTGCTACGAATCTGCCTTTGGAGCAACATTCTCTAAACCAGGACCCCACTCAAGTGGCAACGTTGGGATGCTAAAGGGCTCACTTCCTGAGTTCATGAACTTTAAACTTTTTGGGAAGACCATTTCAGTGGTAAATATAATGTTTGGACTTTGTTTGGGCCATCCACTCGGCAAGTGAGAGGGAGACCAACATAAAAACCGCCCTTTTCAGGTGTTCGTTTCGCGCACGCTCATGCAACGCCTTTCAACCCGTAGGCCCCCGATTCCCAGTGGATTGGAAACCACACCAAAAGTTGTGAGAGCCTTTTTTGACATGGCCAACGCCAGCACAAAGTCGGCATTTGTGCGAATCAAGTCCTAGCGATGTTTAACGATAGAACGAGCTTGCCAGTTCCAGATCACTAGGGTGAAAGCCCTTACTTGCTTGTTCTTTGAGCTTCTGCCGGTGGACTAAAGTGGACTAAAGTAACCTGGGGATGTGGCAGATGTGGCTGTCCATTACTTGGAAATATGGCTTTCTGCCTGGAACCCAAACACCTGGCGTTTGTTTAAAGCAAAAGAAAGGCGTAGGTCAAGCAGGCTTTTTGTTTTTTCTGTGCGAGGACGGCAGGCTCCGGCAACTGGGGCTGCCCGGGCTGCTGGTCACGGCAGCTGGGCTCCC